TTCTATAAAGATGGCTCCCTCATCAGGACGGAGCCTACAGGTCACATGACCCTCCGGCCTGTTAGCAGGTCTGATGAAGGCCTCTACAGCTGCTCCATCGGGGGGGACAGGTCTCCCTCCAGCCGGGTCCGGGTCTCAGGTGAGCAGCTGCTCTCTGACTGTTTTTCAGCATCTGAAACAAGAAAATAACTTCATTATATTTGTTTCATATTTAGAGAACCCCCCCACCACATCTGCCCCTCCTCCTGGAGCTCGGACTCCTCCTGATTGGTTGTTGGCTGTTTGTGTCTGCTCTGTGGTTTCTCTGCTGGTCCTGGTTCTGGTTCTGGTTCTGCTGTGGAGACGATGTGTTCAAAGGAAACCTGAAGGTGAGACGTACATCCAAGAATTAAGATTTTATTTTGCAGACAATGATGACGTTTTTATGTGTTAGTATGCTATTTATTCAGTTGTATAATAGAAACATGAAATCATAAGATTAAAGAATATTCAAGGACTCGCCTACAGATTTAATTTCTTAATATCTAGAAGCTTTGATTATTCCATAAATGAATCAGTAATTTGTTTGATTTCAGCTGATGAACAACAAGTTGGACCGGACTTTCTCACGTACAGCGACATAAGAATATCACGTGGTCAGAGACAGAAAGTCAGATCAACTCAAGGTCATTTTCTTTTTTTTGTGCTTCTGAGTTTATTGTTAGAAAGTTCTGCAGTTTTCAGAACATTTGCTTCGATTTTACGAATACTTTCTTTAGATTTCAGGAGGTAAAAGCAGTTAAACATTTTCAGCAAAGTCTGAAATGTGGAGAAACCGTTTTCCTTCATTCATAAATCTGTAAATAGATTGTAATTAATGTAAATAATTTTGTTAGAATTGGAGATCCCCACTGAAATAGGAGTTGAACAGACTTTAATAGCTTTTTTTACCTCAGACTATTTTTGTCCTGAGCTCTTCCTGTGGTTTGAAAGGTGTCTGTGAACTCTGAGCTGTGCATGCTGGACTGGTAGTTTGTGGTTAAGGTGCAAACAGCTCAGAGCCTCGCTCAGCAATGATGGAAAGATAATGTGGTGTTAACTATAGTTTGAGTTTGAGCGCAATTAACCCGTGTTAAATATATTTTAATAGATACTTTAAAAATTACTTTAAAATAATTTGAATATCTGATTTTAGCTGTAACTTGATTCTTCTTGTTGATGTGTTCAGACAGCGATCCGGCTGTTATTTACTCTGTAGTGAGACCAGACGGCCTCACATATGGAGAAATAACCTTTAAAGAGAAGAAGAACAGGAAGAAGAACAGAGGTAAGGCTGCTCTGTCTCCCCAGCTGGACAGAAGCAGCTCAGGGCTGAAGGGCTGCACCTCCCGCCTTTTTCCCGCTGTGTGACCTGTGTGTCTGTTTCCAGAGGCTCCGGCTGAGCCAGATGTGCTCTACTCTTCCCTGAAGGCGTCGAAACCCCGGCGCTGAAGCTGGAGCCGGTCTGAGGCCAGCAGCCGCTCCGCCCACCGCCACTCACACTTTTTACATCATTTCAGGGGAGTTAAACCTTCAGAAAGCAGCTTTCTGCCTTCAGTGTGTCTTTAGACTCTCAGCTTGTTTAAATGAATGTGTTTGTGTCTCAGAATATGTTTATTTGTGCTGGTTTTTTGGACTTATTTAAGGTTTTAAGGACTCAGGAGCTGTTTTCAGAGCAGCTCTGGGCTTTCTGTGCCCCCCTTGTTGTTCTGTGGGTTTCACAGAAGGCAGAGAAATGTTCCAGTTTGTGGTTAACCAACAGAAGCCTCTGAGAACAGAGAAGTCTAAACTGGCACCAAAGGTTAAAAGCCCCCCTGTAAATTTGACAGAATTTAATTTTATATATCGTTTATATAACTGTTTTTATTGTAAATAAAAAAAGAGTCTATGCTATATATTTAAGGATTTACAGACTTTTTCTTGGTCCTAACGGCAGCATCTAAACATATGAATAAACAAATGTACCACATAAACATTGACCTCCTGAATGGGAGGCCGGGCTGTTTAATCTGAGGTCTGCTGCCCCCTGCTGGTCACAGTGGGCTCAGCCTGAGTCTCCTCCAAAGGCAGCAGCTCAAACTCTGCTGCTCTTTGCTGTGTTCCAGCTTCTATTCCGATCTATTTAAGGATTTACAGACTTTTTCTTGGTCCTATCGGCAGCATCTAAACATATGAACAAACACACATAAACATTGACCTCCTGAATGGGAGGTCAATGCTCAATCTGCGCTCTGCCGCCCCCTGCTGGTCACAATCTGCATCACAGCAGAGAACTTTAACCCCACATGAAGGAATGAGTCACCAACAGGCTGGAAACACTCAGATAAACAGTAACTGATACCTGATGCATCAGGGAGAGTCTCTAATGGTCCCTTTGGGCTCTGAGAGCAGGCCCACTGTCTGAGACTGGAACAGAACCAGAACC